TTAGAAACATTATAATACCGTGTAAAAAACAATATAATTAGACTGATTCAGTATAAAAATATTATGTTATGAATTTTTACATTGTGTTATAATATTTTTGGCAATGTCAAAAAAAATATTGGTTCAGACCGATCCATATAGCACTGTGCTTTTGGACAGTCATAGTAACATAATGTTAAGAAAATACTATAACACAATATTTTTGTATAGTTTTACAATATTTAAATAATATTTTATTAGAAATTAATAACTCAATATCAACAATAATATGTCAAAATCTTTAATAAAAAAAATATATAGGTGATAAGGGATCATTTGGTCGGATGATTATTAGTGCGGCTCGTAGGTTAACGAAAAATTATCTACTTTGAACGACCGGCGTACCCACATGGTTTTATCCTTTTAGATTATGTGAACTCCAAAAGACACCTCTAAGAATTTTATAAATGATAATATAATTTTATTTAGTTGATAATCTAATTTATATTAATAACTCAATATCAATAATAAAATGACAAAATCCTTGATAAAAAAAATATATAGTTGATAAGGGATCATCTAGTCGGATGATTATTAGTATGGCTCGTAGGCTCACGAGAAATTATTTATTTTGAACGATGAACATCCCCACATGATTTTATCATTTTAAACTCCATAAGACACCTCTAAAGATAAGGAAGGCCTAACGAACTTATGAGTTCTTGATTCCCATACTCATATATGGGACGACTTTATCGATAGTCTGATAAAAATATTTTTAAATAAAAATTATTTAAAAATTTTAAAAAATATATATAATAAAAAAATCTGGAATCCATTTGGTACAAAATACGACTCATAAATACATCTCTAATAGAAACAATGAATAATCTTCTCCGACAATAAGGAACGAAGCATGATGAGATTTTATTATTGTGATAATTTGAAGTGAAAAGACAAACTCGATGAATGATCTCTCTCTCTCTCTCTCGTGCCTCCTCACACGTCCTTCCCCACCACAGTCTCCTTGATCTTCTGCGTCGTCTCCTTCGCTGCCTCCCATGCGTACTGCATCGTCTGCTTCGCCTTCTCCCCCACCGCCGCCGCTGCCTCCTCCGTCTTGTCCTTCGCCTTCTCTACAATAGACTTGGTCTCGTCCTTGGCTTTGGTCACGCCTTCCTTCGCGTTCTCGCGTGCAGCATCTGCGGACTCCACCCTCGCTGCCACCGAGTCGGCCTTCTCTTTCACCTTCTCCTTTGCCGCCTCGGTCATCGAGCTCGCTGCTTCCTTGGTCCTGTCTCCCATCGCCTCGACCTTCTCCACGTACTCCTTCGCTTTGATAGCATTTCTATCCACCACACCGCCGTAATCCCCCGCTCTCTTAAAAGCCTGCGGATACATTTCATACGAGCTTAGGCTACATAGATGTTACAGGAAAAAGGATCGAAATATACCTGAGAGGATCCGCGGGCGGATTGGAAGCAGAAACTGGTTGGTCTAAGCGATGTGGGGCGGGCAGGAAGGGAAGGGTTGGGGATGGCTTCCAACATGTTGCTGCACATTCCGGTGCGTCCTCCTACGAACATGGCTACCATAAGATTTCCTACACCTGAATCGTCTTCAACAAGCTTCCCAGGTAAAGGAGAACTGCTTTCGCAACCCAAAACTCGTTCGTTTTATAGCAGAATCCATGGACGAACTCTCGTGCGAGGAAGGGCGGGGTGGTGGTGACGGGAAGACGACGAGTTCGGCGACACGTTGCATGCATGCCGAAGCTCCATGGCGGGCAGGTGTCCTTCTATCTTACGTGCTTGAATGCTCACACCCGAATCGCGTGGGGGAATATTTGTAAGAGGTGCATATAACGGGAGCGATAAATTAGAATTATATTTGGGTATTTTGCTTTAAAAAGTATTAGTTTTTATGTGAGAGCTTTTTTTAAATGATAAATATTTTATTAACCAAATCCAATATAAATTCTGTGTAAGTCGAGTATAGCTTAGTTTGATTTCAAATGCAATTGGATAGTTTTATAATTAGAACATGATTATTAGATGATTAATGTTTTTATTTTTTTAAAAAAAAATTATAATAATTCATTATTAAAATTTATTTTTTTTAAACTAATACAATTAATGAGTGTAATTTATTTCGGCTTCTACTAAACCAACCTAAACATCTATAAGACCACTAGATTTTAAGGTGATTAGAATTATTTTTTTATTTTTAAAATTTTTATCAAAATTAATTTTTTTTAATACATTGTTTGATCGAATATAACTTGGTGAGCTTCCAATAAATCAGCTCAAACTTCCATCAAAACAATAGATGATTTGCATTGTTTTGATTATTCTTTATAAAATTTTATGTTAATTAATTATCAAAATCGAGATTTTTTTTTATGGGTACTTTGATTTGAATGTAGCTTAGTTCAATCTTAAGTATAATTTGCTAATAAAAATAAAATATTGATAGGATATGACTTTAAGATTATTATTATTTTTTTAATTCTATGAGAATTAATAATATTAATAATCAAAATTAATAAACTTTTTGGATAAGTTCTTTGATGAAATATAATTTAGCTGAGTAACTTGATCAATTTTCACTAAATCAACTCAAAATTTCACAGAATTAATATGCCATGATTCTAATATAATTTGTATTGATTTTTTTATTTTTAAAAATTTTATGATAATTAATATCAAAATTATTATTATTGAATAACAAATGTGATCATGTTATAGTGAATAATTTAAAACATTTTTATACAAGTGAAAAAAAGGGATGCCTAGTATCGACGGTGCCATTCCGTAAAAAAATCAATGGTAAGAGATTTTTTGGGTAAAATATTCAATTAATTATCAGATAATTGGGGACAAGACAACGATAAAAGAATGCAGGAATTGCCAATAGCGTTAGGTTCTGCAAAACGTAGAACATCGAGGAGATACTCATTTGCATACTGCAAATTCACATGTGTACAACATTTACAAAAAACCTTCAGTGAATATACCGAAAACACAACGCGATATCAATGAGCTATCAGCATCAGACATCATACCCGGGATTAATCTTCTGCTGAATGCTGTCATAGCTTTCTAACTCATGCATATCCTCCACGCTCCCCAGGAAGAGTGGAAGCCTTTGATGCAGCTCAACTGGCTGAATCGATAGGATCCTGGTTTTGCCATCAGAGCCTCTACCACCAGCATGTTCAATGAGGAAACTAAGAGGGTTGGCTTCGTAAACCAGGCGAAGATGATCTCTTGGGTTCATCACCACACCACCGTATATGAGCGTGCGATGGAAATCAGCAACCAGTGAGCAGACATAGCGAGCTGAGTACTTCTTGGGGAACTGCCCCTTCCCTTGTCGAACTGTGTCGATGTATCTCCTTAACCCATCAGGCCAGTCGAAGTAACGTGCATCATTCACAGAGTATATCTGCCCTGACATTAACATGCCAAACTGTTAGAGTCAAGGAGCAAATTTTTTATCAAAAGAAACTAACAATTTTTATGTTGATGTTAACAGAGTGTTGAGAATAAAAAAAATCCTGAAGTGCCGAAGCTATCGTCCTTTGTACAGATATGAAATAGAGAGAACAAACACAACCCCAAGATATGATCTGGATTCTTAATTTGCACATCTGGGAAGATATTTATTGCTTTTGTAGTTTTGTTTGGTCTCAACCAGAAAAAATGGAATCGAGTGGATGTGAAAAATGAAACTTGTTTTCCATCTTTACGACTGACTTTTAGGCATTAAGCCAGTCATGAAAACAATAAATGCTTCAAATCATTAAACCATATTAATCCTAGTCAAATCTATAACTTGAACTAAAAAAAGAGAAAGATGGAAAGAGTGGAAGGTTAAAGATGAAAATGTTTTGGGTTTTCCTCTCTCAAATCGTAACACAAATAATAGTAAGTAACAAAGCAAACAAGGTTGAGCATGTTGACACTTTGGCTAAAGTTTTCTAAGCTATTAAACAGAAAGAATCTTACCCCGGCGAGGAACTTGAATTGATGGATGCGTAAGAACAAACTCTCCGGTTGAGTGATCCAACATGAAAGCATGCGTGCCAGAACCAAAGCTGATACAAAAGATTGTGGCGGATGAGTACAAGATGTAACCGGCAGCTACAAGCCGTTTTCCACTCTGCAGAGAATTGAGCTGTGCCTTCTCCTCTATGGGAAGATGGTCTAACTCAGCAAGTCTATTGTATACTCCAAATATGGTTCCAGTTGGGATGGACACATCGATATTGCGAGAACCATCTAAAGGATCGACAACGACGACGAACGGGCTGTGATCGGTTATCCAAACTGGAACATCATCTTCCTCCGATGCCATAACTGCGACTTTTCCAGATTTTCTAAGCGAGGCCAATATTATGTCATTCTGCAAAAGAAAGAAAGCAAGCTTTAAGGTAGATACAGCCTGATGAAATATCCTGTAAGATGTTGGAAAAGATTGAACCAGTCATTTAGATATAGCTGATAGTTCAAATCTGGGAAACCAAGGAAGCATTTTTGAATTCTCTATTATTTATGTTGTTCTAAACAAGGTTAAATGCAAATTATGTTTGTCATAACAAACCTACCTAGCAAGCAAAGCATTTTTAAAAGACTAGGGTTTTCTTAGCTTGTCAGCATGAGTTTCGAAAGACTTGCAAAACTTTTGTAGAGCCCTTAATTCATCTTCTTCATTACTAGCCTGAGGAATTATTCTAATTATAAATACTTAAACTTCAATTAATGGTATTCTAATTGACTCTATTCTTGTAGTACCAATGCCCATCAATTTCCTTCCCTGCGTCCTACCTTTAATCTTTACATAAAACTCATTTGGCCAAAACTATTTCTACTAGATAGCCAGATAGACACCGCTAAAATAACCCACCAAGAGGTGCAATTTTTCAGTATCCTTCCTTCAAATAGACTTAACCAAGATATTCCATGTAGTTAATTAGGTCATAAACTAAACAGAACAAGGAATTATCCAGTTTCATTTGTCACTTGATTTTAAGTTGGGATGCTTCAACCCATTAACCACAAACCCTAACACAGCCAAAAAGTTACATCTATAAATGAATTACACACCATCATTTGTCAAAATTAACAACTATATCAAAATAATGAAGTATATCAATAACTAGTTACCATAAAAATAAGATCACAAACCCATCACTTCACAGGGGTTGTTATGTAGAAAATAATGCAAATTTGTTAACTATTTGTGGAACACACACATTCCCCACATTTATCTAGTACAACCTTTTATACACCCATCCACTGGCACTTTTCAAGTGACTCTTCTGGAATTCAAGCAAGGACTCAAGATAAACAACATTAGATGTTGAGACCAAGACAATGAAGGAAATTTGTCAACTTGTCATGGTATAGAGAAGAACAGAGTCACTAAATAATGATCTCAACTCCAGAGAAGTATGGATGCTAAAAACAAAGTTTTCATCAGTTGATTTAGTTACCTTCTTGTCCAAGGGGTAATAGTTCTTTACTGATTCAAATATGCTATGAGAATAAAACTTATGTTTCATTCACTTAGGAAACTACATGTTCTTTGTCCAAGGGGTAATAGATTCTGTGATATATAACTTATGTTTCATTCACTAACTACATGTTCTGTGAATTCTGAAATCAAAAGAGAAGTGGCACAGAGAAACTTGTACAGGAGAAAGACATGACAGTCCCCTTAGGAAACTGTATACAGACTTCAATCTTGCACTTCCCAGCTACACTTGTCTAAGCTTCAATCTTGGAGGAAACATCCAATTGTTTAACAAAATTGAACATTATTTGTTTCAAGAAACATCAATTTTTTTATCTTCAAAGATGCTTTGTTTCTGAAGACAGCGAGCATTGCGTAAGTCTAAAGCTATTCTCTTGGCAATATAATCCAAAATAAAACTTGTTTCCCAAAACATGTTTTAGGAGATTGAAAGATCAAGTTTCTTGAGAACTTTCCCAATAAAAATTGAATCTTGGAAACCAAATCGAATTGATAGAAATGGAGGACGAGTGGGAGGTACCGAAACGATGTCGAGCGGCTTGGGCGCGTCCCTCTTGGAAGAAGACGATGACGACGCGACACCTCCTCCGCCGTCGCGGCCGAGCTCGGCATTGAAGGGCGACGCTACCAAGGCGGCGATCCGCTTGCAGGCGTACTGGAGGTGGCATAACAGGACCACCAGGTCGTCCCCGACATCGGCGCCTCCTTTCCCAACGTACTCCAACAGGGTCATGTAGCTCTCGCCGCCGGTAGAAGACGCCATCTCGGAGACGACCCTCGGGGAGCCGAGCGGCGGCCTCCTCGTGGCGCGGCCGCTGGAGGTGGAGAGGCTGCAGCCGAGGGGGCGGAGGTTACGGCGAGGCGACCAAAGCACGCGATGGGGGGAGAGAGAAGACGGTGGGTGGTTCGGATTCGCGGCGGGAGGGGAGAGGAGGAGGGCGGGGGATTCCATCGATGGGCGGCACAGAAGTTGGGGAAGGATAAAGTTCGAGCTCGATGTGGTGATGGATGGGGAGGCCAAATCAAATACTACGAACGGATGCATTTAAGCTTCTCTGCGGGGCTTTTCCTTGCCGTTGGCTTCGTTGACATGATTATGAATGAATTTATGCAAATTAATTTGATATATTATTATTATTATTATTATTATTAATTAATTAATTAGACTTAAAATTAATGAATCGATTATCTCATCAGATTAGATTATAAAATTCGTACTTATTATGAGTATTAATTAAATTACAATATTTAAAATTTTATGAACATTAAAAAAACTATATTTTTTATTCGCATACAATGAGCCTATTCAAACTGAGACTCGCGACCTTATACATAAGTTTGCCATCCTTGCCAACAAAGAAAAATGGATTTGCTCGTTACTACAGCAAACAAATAAGGATGATGATGATTAATATAATGATCAGAAGAGTTACAGTGAAATCCACAGTATCTGACTAGTTTTTCCTTCACTCCGTAAATGATCTTGTTGTGCTGCAAATGGTGATGGCATGGCACCTGTGTAATGCAAGATGTACGATGTGCCCCGTCTACCATGGTGGAGAAGTTGATGCAGGAAGAACTCATCTGCAAAGAACTGTCACCGGTCACCGTCGTATCGACGTTCTGCCGTCTTCTCAGAGGACGCGGAGCAAGAAGTTGGTGAGGTAGGCACCCTCCGGGTAGGAGGGGTCGATCGGATGGTCGCATGCGACGCCAGCTTGACGCAAGACTGTGATTCTTCTCCCTGCCATCGATGCAGCACCCTGAACAGAACAAAAGATTCATCGATTGCATGGATGAATCAAATTCTAGTTGTGCAAACAAATTATACATCATTGGTTCACTTGTTATCTAAGACCCTCTATATCATAGTTATGGCTTACTTGGTGAACGAAGTAGCTTCTGACTGTTGTTTTTACCAGATGGTTTAAAGTAAATGGAACTTGACATCGAAAAGCTTAGTAGTAATTAACCTGATCATGAAGCACCAAAATTCACTAGTATCGACTCTCATGTGAATGGTGAATGTTCCCATCATGTTTGTAATGTGAAAAAGCATGATACTTGAAGATGTAACTTGCCTGAAGAACACGCAGGAACAACCCACTCTGTGTCATAGCTCCAGAACATGAACATGTCATTAGTAGACCACCTCTCTTTGTGATTTGCATGGCCAATGAGTTCAAATTTCTGTACATGCCAGATGCACTTTGTAGCACCTACAAGGAACTCAACTTTTAGAAGAAAAAGAGGGGAGAGCATGAGTGATAAAAGAAATATAAGAAAACCGATCGTCATATCATATTAAATGTCAAGAAAATGTCAGTCAAATATGTTACACTGGTAGATACTTTTCAGGGCTCACACACTTTGTTAGGAACCATACAAGATATATATCTAAGAGAAAAGAAAGTAAGTTCTAAAATTCAAGTAATTTAATTCGAAATATAAGCCAAGTAAGCAGGCTTTGCCTGCAAGAACTTCGAATTAGGTGAATATGCACATAAATGCAGACTAGATGAGCCAATGCTACTAATTTAACACACTAGCTATGCATGCGCATTGGCTGTATAGGAGGCTTGCTGGCTACATGAAGCGATGTTCCATCAATTATATAATATCTGCTAAGAGAATTTACTCCATCTCACTGCAAAGGGATGTGATAGTCTGTCACTCATTTTCTCAAGAATTTTACTAGATTTTTCTTAATGAAGTCAAACAAAAGTTAAACCTCAAGGTGTGTTTTGTGACTTCAAAATAACTTCACTTCTTCACTATGTTGGTAAGATGGAAAGATTAAATTGCAATGAAGTACCATGGCTAGATAACTCATTTATCGGCACTTATAAGTTCAGGTCAGATGTACACATAGTTAGAACTATCAGAAATTACCTCCTTGCATGCAAATTAACAAGCAACAGATTTCAGATTACCTTTCTTCGAGGTGCTAATTTTGGAGGGTCCAAAATTACCACATCCCATGATTCATTTCTGGCAGCAGCACCTTTCATGAACTCTGTTGCATCTTCTCTTAAAAATGAGATCCTTCCTGGATCCAATTTGTTGAGTTGGATGTTCTCTTTTGCAAGTTCCAAGGCAGGTGATGATGAATCAATTCCTGAAAACAAGCAGATTAATATAGTTAAACTTATCTTTTATTTAAGAAGCAATTTTAGCAGTAACATGTGGCATTACATACCAACAAATGAATACTAATTGATACAAAGACTCGTATAAGTCAATTAATCCATCTAGAATTAAGATGGTACAAGTATGCTTAGCATCTTTCAAACAATATGTATTCACAATTAAGTTTATGGGCTTACAGTATTTTACCAATGACATCCTTTGCACCACCAAATGATGCATTCAATGCGAAACCACCACTATAACAGCAAACATCAAGGACTCTCCGATCTCTTGAAATAGATGAAATCAGTCGACGACTTTCACGCTGATCTGCATAGAACCCTGTTTTCTGTCCCTCTAGTGAGATTAAGTAACATATGCCATTCTCCATGACCTGCAAGCACAAGCTGCAAATCTTTAATGTAAACGCGTGTTTGAAGTGGTAAACTAACAAAATTAAGGTCAATGACAAGTATTAGGCTGTACTGGGAGAAAAGTCAAGACAAACATACTTAACACAAAAAACATGAATGAGAAACATCATAACTAATGAAGTTATTCAAGTAGCAGATTTCAGATGATGTGCTCAATCACATATGTGCAAATTCTTATAAATGCCTACTTTTAAATAACTGCACAGGATAATATCAAGTAGAATAATTCTTAAAAAAAATGATGACACTGTAAATCTCTTAGAAATCAAATTTTAGACTTAGAAAGAAATGGAACTTCATCAAGACTTTATATACAGGGCAAATTTACAAATCATAGACCAGATAATTTTTCCTTAGTTAACAGGAGTGACAATGCATGAGCTAAACATATAAAATGGGACACCAAAAATATCTCCTGCAATCATTATGTCTGGAAATATGTGGTAACTCACTACAACTAAATGATTGAGAATATTGAAGTAGTGCTGCTTGGTCTGAGGATAAAGCATCAACCCCTAAAGGAAGGGTTAGCTATATTCCTACAGGACAATTAAACAGTTTGAGACAACAGCGGTTAAAAAAGTAAAACCAGCACAAATGAAACTGTCATTCTGTAACAAAGCTATATATATTGTCAAAGAATGATATTTAAAAAACAAGAAATACATTTATTTCCAATTTCATTACTGTCCATACATTATTTTCAGAAATTATGACAAAATTTATCAAAACTGGATCCTCAAAAACAAGCAGCAAATTGAGAGCTTGATGTTATACCTTTACTCTTCCAGGGCATGAAGAAGAGCCAGGGTCTCCTTGATCTGATATTTCAAGTCCTTCTTCTTTCAGAATATCAATTGAAGGTCTCCACTTTATATGGTTTACATTTCTGACTCTGCCAACAAGGAACTCAATTTCCTGTTTATATTTCTCGATCCATGCAGCAGATGAGGCTATTACTGCAACATCGCCAAAAACGTCCACAATTAAACCTGACAACCTGCATTCATCTATCTAGTGATCATGAAAAAGCCAAGTTGGACAGCCCTCCACAAACACTTAAAGCATCATTATGAAGAAATAGATAAATATAACTAGAAAAAGTAAATGAAAGAAGCATAGAAATCAAGATTCTGAATATATCAAACACAAATTAAGTCAATGTATCCCGTGTTGCAACTTATATAGTTCTAATAGTTTTATCGGTTGAAAATGTCAATAGATGAAGAACAGAGCCGAAAGCATGCTATATTCTGCTGCATTGACGGAAAGCTTTAGAAGCTACAATATGGATTTCCTACCTATCCCCCTCACTGTTCACTAGACGATATACATTTGTGTCATCCGAAGGAAGTCCCATGCTCTGACGTAAATCTACAGCAGCATCAAGTCTTGCTTCAAGCAGCTTCTCCATGTTCAGTGCATAGCTTGGATCCCTGTGAGTTCATCAAGAAAAGAAAATGCTGGTGCATTAAGCTGACAGGAGGCTGGAGTGCAGAGACCTCCCAGCTGACAAAGCAAGCATTGTTTGTGCAGGGCAACGTAGTTACCTTGCCGCCTCTTCTTCTAATTGCATTAGTCTGACACAGAACATTGACACCGAATTGTACATACCCCACCCTATTGCCCTCTCTGATCCATCTGCTACCAGGACAGCATCGCCTGTCTTAGGAGGAGGCCTACCGATGATTCTGTCAACTGCACCGCTGTAAACCATGGGATTTCCATTCTTAAAGACTTGTGTCTTCCCTTTCTTTAAGACAACTTTCGCCAAACCTGATAAATCACACAGCTTCATAAGCAATTACCAATAAGCATGATCCTTTCTACTGCAGAACTTCCATCAGTAGCTTAAGGTGCAAACAGAGCTGACGATGAGGCAGTGAGAAAGACCACCTCAGTCCCACTGGAACATAACATCGAACAGGACACGTGTTCGAATTCTTCACATCAAATAGGACGACATATTCAATTTATGAAAGGAAGTGATTTTAGTCGAGCAAATCATCAAACAGCTGGAGCTCGAAAGAAAGCGAGATCAAGAAGCGGAAATAGTAGCCGCAGGGAGAGAAAGGGATGACCTTTACGGTTGGCGGCGACATCTTCTAAGGTGGTGGTAGCGCCGGCGGCGGGCGAGGAAGAGGAGAGGAGTGCGGAGGATGCAGGACGAGAGGGGATGGCTCTGGGTTTTATGAGGCGAGCGGGGAGGAGCTGCATGCGAAGCATTTCTGGGTCGGAACCGAACTCACTTGCTGACCTCAGTCTGCTGTAGTAGCTCTTTGCCACTTCGTCGGTGCTGCCTAAGCTTTTGATGTATTGGAGTATCGAAGGGATAAGAGAGAGAGAGAGAGCGGGTCCCACAACATTCGTGGGCTCCAACGTAAGGTGGCGGGCTCCACGAAACCCTACTGACACGAGGTTAATTCCGGCCGTTGTTGCTCTGTTCCCGTCGCTCGATCAATCTCATAATGCTTCTCCGTCTCCGCAGCCTCAACCTCTCTCAGCCTCTGCCTCTCTTTCTCCGCCACCCTAAAACCCTAAACCCTACCCTTCGCTGCCTCTCCTCCCCTTCCTCTTCCCAATCCCAAGGCCCGCTTCCGTCGTCGGAGCCCGCCGAATGGACGGACGAGATCGTCTACCTGGACGAGTCGGGCGATGTCATTTGCTCCGGCCGCGGCCTCCGCCCCGCCGAGCCCGGCCGAGACGCCCACGTCCTTGACGGCGGCCTTCTCCGCCCCATCCCCCGTTCCGCCGCTGCCTCTAAGCTAGTCGAGCTCGCTCGCCGCTGGCGCTGGGGCCCCGACCTTGACGCCCACCTCGATCGTCTCCCTTTCCCCCCAGACCCTTCCCTCCTCTCTGTCGCCCTCGCCGCCCTCCCGGCCGCTGACCCTCAGCCGGCCCTCTCCCTCTTCCGCTGGGCCCGCCGCCAACCCTGGTTCGCCCCGTCCGACTCCACCTATGCCCTCCTCCTCGATCGTCTCTTCGCTGCGGCTGACTTCGATGCCATCCAGTCCCTCTTCGATGACATCCTCAAAGCTGCCACCTTTGACGATGCCGAGCCCTCTTCGACATCTTTCTCCTCTTCCCTCAATCTCGTGGTCCAGTATCTATGCCAGGCTTCGAAGCTGGAGATCTCCTTTTCCTGTTTCAAGAAACTACGAGACGCCGGATTCAGGGAATTCAACACCCAGACTTACAATTCTCTCATCACCCTCTTCCTATGCAAAGGCTTGCCCTTTAAGGCCTTCGAGATCTACGAGTCCATGGCGAGTAGCGGTTGCTCGCTCGATGCCTCCACCTATGATCTGATGGTTCCTGCCCTTGCCAAGTCTGGTCGGCTTGATGCTGCCCTCCGTCTCTTCCAAGAGATGAAGGCAAAGGAAGGCTCCGGCAGGCCAGGGCTCCCGATATATGCGGCCCTGGTGGATTCCATGGGGAAGGCTGGGCGGCTGGATGCAGCAGTGGGGCTGTACCAGGAGCTGCAGTCAGTCGGATATAGGCCGTCGGTCACAATGTATGTATCCATGATCGAGTCTTTGGTGAAGGCCGGGAAGCTCGATGCTGGCTTAAAGCTTTGGAACGAGATGAAAGGTGCTGGTTTTCGTCCAAATTTTGGTTTGTATACGATGATGGTCGAGTCCCATGCCAGATCGGGGCGGCTTGAGACGGCTGCCTCCATCTTTGCTGATATGGAGAGGTCAGGGTTCCTCCCAACACCATCCACTTATGCTTGCCTCATCGAGATGCACTCTGCTGCTGGACAGGTGGACCCTGCAATGAGGCTCTACAATTCGATGACCAATGCTGGACTTCGGCCGGGATTGAGTACCTTTACATCCCTGTTGAGCGTTCTTGCTAATAAGAAACTTTTGGACTTGGCTGCAAAGGTTCTCCTTGAGATGAAAGCTGTTGGGTTTGCTGTGGATGTTAATGCCAGTGATGTGCTGATGATATACATCAAGGGTGGGTCGACAGAGCTGGCTTTGAGGTGGCTGAGATTCATGGGTTCTGCTGGAATCAGGACCAACAACTTCATTATAAGGCAGCTTTTTGAGTCTTGCATGAAGGCTGGGCTTTATGATTCTGCACAGCCATTGCTTGAGACCTATGTGGGATCAGCTGCAAAAGTGGATTTGATACTCTACACTTCAATTCTTGCGCATTTGGTCCGCTGCAAGGACGAGAAGAATGAGCGGGCTATAATGGACATCATGAGTTCGGCAAAGCACAGGGCTCATGAGTTCATGTGTGGGCTCTTCACTGGACCAGAGCAGAGGAAGAAACCTGTGCTATCGTTTGTGAGGGAGTTCTTTCAGGAAATTGATTATGAATTAGAAGAGAGTGCCGCAAGATACTTTGTTAATGTGCTTTTGAATTACTTGGTGCTAATGGGCCAGATGAACCGAGCCAGATGTGTTTGGAAGGTAGCCTATGAGAATAAGTTGTTCCCCAAGGCTATTGTCTTTGACCAGCATATTGCATGGTCTTTGGACGTGCGAAACTTGTCCGTGGGGGCAGCTCTGGTGTCTGTGGTGCATACACTGCATAGGTTTAGGAAGAGGATGCTGTACTATGGTGTGGTGCCTCGACGCATCAAGTTGGTGACAGGCCCCACGCTGAAGATGGTTGTGGCTCAGATGCTTCAATCGGTGGAGTCACCATTTGAGGTGAGCAAGGTCGTGCTTAGGGCTCCAGGGGATTCAGTCCTGGAGTGGTTCAAGAAGCCTATTGTCCAACAGTTCTTGTTGAATGAAATACCATCAAAGGCAGATGTTTTGATGCACAAGCTTAACGTACTGTTCCCGAGCTCTGCACCAGAGGTTCGGTTACTTTCTCCTCCCAAGCCACTAGCTGTGTCAAGGTAATGTGCTAGTGAAAGATGTACACGATTCATATTTATATTATGAATGAAAAAAGGGGGGCATTCTCAATGATGAATGTTCTGCCTGCGTTTTTCAATGACAGAATCACCGCTTTATGTGATCATAGGAGAGGAAATATAGACTATGGCTAGTAGCTTTTTTTTATTGTAATAAAGTTCCAGATACTTTCTTAGAAGCTCTTTTAATTAGATCATGAATTGTTCATATAAATCTGACTCTCTTGATTTGTCTACAATAGTCAGCAAAATATAATCTTGAATCAGCAATCTTGTTTCATGCTTTTCTTTGGAGTTGAATTATTTGGTTTCCTACTAAATCAGAGCTAGCTATAGTTGAGGATAAGAAGAAAGGTATTCATTCATTGTGGTCAGGGCATGGCCCGAGAACACGTTTAAGTGATTAGTAAGAGAGCTCAACTTGTGTTCAAAGTGTTAGTCTGGGGATAGGAAGACACACAAAGACTTGGTCCGAAATAGTCCAAAAGGATCTTGTGGCACTTGAGCTGTTTAGAGGATTTTAACCTAATCAACTACTACTAGTTGGAGACAGAAGACCTAGTTTCTATCCTTGTGTTTTCTTATGGTATGTGTATTTTCACATCAACCTCATATGACTCCCATCCATGTACACTCTGGAGAACAGCCTTGATCATCTCAAGGAAGTCTTTAAAATGATCATGTAGCAGTCCTCAGCATATTACCTGGTTTGCATTTCCTTTTTATTCTGACGGAAATACTTTAACATGAATATGCCATCTGAGTATTCTTCTGGATCAGTGATCACTGCACATGTAGTCGCAATTGCATTTGTAGTCAAGGGAATAGGTGCTGCATGGGGGTGAAACTCGTCTCTGCCATCACTGCCATGGCAAATGCTGTCCTGGACATCCAAACCTATATTTCCTTGTTAGATTTCCAACCCAAATTAGTCTTTTGCCCAAGCTGTTGCTTAGTGTGCACTTTTATCTTACATTGGTCTCGTTCAAGAATGAAAATGAATTGTTATCTTTCTTTTCGTTTCTTAACTTAACATGAAGACTATTTCATTTTTTTCTTGTTCTCATCGTTACGTCATAAAACCCTGTGATCGAGTTGAACTTTGTATCAAACTCTTTATGTGACATTTTTACAGATTGGAGTAGAAATAATTGGTAGAGTTGAACTTTGTATCAAACTCTTTATGCGACATTTTTACAGATTGGAGTAGAAATAATTGGTAGAGTTGAACTTTGTATCAAACTCTTTATGCGAAATTTTTACAGATTGGAGTAGAAATAATTGGTAGAGTTGAACTTTGTTTCAAACTCTTTATGTGACATTTTTACAGATTGGAGTAGAAATAATTGGTAAGACAACCGATGCTATTCGTGTGTCAGACCTTTGTTTCCATGATGTTATCGTGCGTTGCAAAGTGGCATGTGTTCTTAGTTATGGATCGACTTTTGTAATTTTGATCTGCATGCAACTGTTTTTAAGGAGTTATCGAACACAAGGATGGATGATGTAAACGATATGCAGTTATCATGTTGACTCTTATTTGATTATATTTACGGTGATATATCTCGTACTATGAATTCTTTGGGACTGACTCCGACCTCGGCAAGATTATGACTTATCCTTGAAGCCATGGATCACAAACAAACACTGTTAATTTGTTTAGCATGAACATAGTACATATTAAGAATGTTGCTGATATCCTGTGGCTATCTGAAACATATCCTTTGTCACAGAAAAAAGAGCCAAAACAATATGCTATGAGTTTAAATGCCTCCATTACAACCATGTGGGAGAAGATAAACACCATTATATCCAACATAAATAACAGAACAACATGATTGTTCCATTCCGTAAGGAAAAAAAATGAAACAAGAGCATGCTACATGGTAAGATTATTAATTTAGGCAGCATTTTACATGGATGTGGAATTGAAGCCGGGCTTTAGAAACAAAACTCAAGCTGTAGATATCAAGATGGGGGAATCTCGACAGGCATCCGAAAGCAGTCTATGAGCTTGAATCCATGCAAGTTTGATAGCATATCTGGAAATCCTCACACTGGAAGTTCGATTCGAGAGCAGGTTCGCTTCAACCAAAGAGAGGATGAGTTCTTTGCAGACTGGAATCACAGTGAGCTGCTTTATCACTCGATGCCCTGTTCAAGTAGTGTGTGCATTAACAACCTTCTGGATTCATGGCCTCAAAATACCACAATTACATCAACCAGGTACTCAGATATTGTAGCAGTTTAAGTTGTGATACAAGCAATTCCATGGTGCAATCCGGGAATAATAAACTAATTTTACAAATATCTGGCAAAAGCATGAGAGAAGAAACAAGATGAAAGGTTTAAAGATGCACTTAATTATGATCGACATCTTGGCAGCAACTAACTTAGTTTTAACTAAGCAACATGCATATAAAACACTGACAGTTAACCTCCAGGGGTATCATTAAAAAGGGTGTTAGACTGATGAAGTTACTGTCAGCATTCCGAGATTTTTCATGAATGCATTAGCATGAAAAAGAGTTCTAACAGTGGGATGCTACATAATGAAGCAGATAGCAGAAGAGCTTGTACTCACACGTTTCGGGTGTCTTGCATAGAAACAATGAGATATTCATGCATTCCTTTTTCGAGCTACCCTAACTTGGAGGATGAGATGAACATTTCTCTTAAATATTGATCTCAACTCTTCGTTGGCTTCAATGCCTATTCTCCTGTTCACACAAGAACAATAGACAAGAAATTGAGCACTTATTCCTTGCATAAAAAGATTTTAGTAAACCAATATGACAAAAGAAAACCCACAAACTGACTATAATCTCCATCTAAATAAGGGTAATGGAACAAAGGGTGGTGACAGAAACAATACCCAATTTTAGAGCCATTTTTTCCAACAAGAATCTGGCGCTGGCTTGGTTTTGGTGTGATGAAGTGTTGCTCCACCCTAAGGGAACCATCTCTTAGTTCCTTCCAATCCATCAACCGGTGTTCAATAACATAAGGAATTTCCTGAAAGAGAGTATCTTAGCATCTTTCTGACAAGCAAATAAAACATGCTAACTTCACAATTACACTTAATGATACCTGATGAATATGATCTAGCATCTTTTCCCGCACAACCTCCAGTGATATAGTTTTCATTATTTCTTCACTCATGGTGGTGGGGTCTTCATCCCAAGGTCTTTTAACTGCCTGCATACATCAAAGCAATAAGAATCACCTAAATAAAGTGCAATTGATATTCAACTAAAGAAATGGAAAATAAGATACCAAGATATAACATTTGATGTCTGATAGGAGTTCAGCATATTCTATCACATTTTAACAAGACTCCTCATGTCCCACTATAATTTGCTTACTGTTTGCCACAAGACCTGAGTCTCAAATCTTTATCACAAATGTTAACAAGTCTGCAGCACCACTAGATTCTTTTTGTCCCCATTAGTGGTACCTAATACTAAGCTTCCTACAGTCGATTATAGTTTTCAGATAATTCTTGGTTAATTTGTGTAGTGATCAAGAATGTGATAGACATGACTAGTTTTCATCATTGGTTAACAATAGTATTGAATTACCACAGCACCACATGATGCATAATCAGCATAAAGTACCTGATCCATCAGATACTGAACAAGGTCTTTGATTCCTGAACCTTTTAATCCAGATATCATAAAGTACCTAAAAGACATGAGATATCAATGAAGAAACAAGCAATTTGATCAGTATTAATTAGACCTTACAACAAATTTTCACCTACTTATCATATCCAGGAAGATCTGCAAATTCTTTGGCAACTTTTAGCAAGTCTTTCTTGTCTTCTACAAGATCAACTTTGTTCATGCATAACACCCGCTTTTGCTTAGAGTGAACCTTTTCTCCCATTTGTTTAATCAACTTGATCACCCTTGTGTCAGGCCTGCGTATAAGGTCAAATAGCAATGAAGATTTTTCATAACCGGATCTCTTGTCATTTGATGTATTCTAAGTAATATTTCTTACCCAAAAAAAAGACACCGAGGTATCTAACATGCTAGTACATACATAAAATGTTTGTCCCAAGCATCAAAAACTGAACAATTGCAAATACTTCCAAATCTCTGAATCCATTTTTGTATTGCCTAGCCAAAGACTGCTATGAAAAATCTAAGTTGAGTGATGCTTAGGTGAAGATTTTATCAAATGTTCATTTCTCTCATAAGAGATATTTGTAATACAAGACGTTGAACTCATTGGTAGATGCTGAACTAAACAAGTTGACAGTAATTTAGAGGACAAATTAGAATAATAAAAAATTCCTGTGAATGTCAATTCAGTTCTGGACTGCAGATGACAAAATTTACAAGAAAAAGCCTCATATTGATATCATGATCACTTACATGGTCAGATGCCTATGTACGTCAAACATCATTATCAACAGATCATATAGTCCAATAGAGCTCCAAGCACTTTCTACACGAACTTTAACATCAGTCCTGTAAGGGTATCCATGTTGGCCTATCATGAGACCTGGTGTATCAAAGAAACACTGTGGAGGAAGGCTATTAATATAACTGGTTTAACAATAGATATAACACATAAAATAAGTAAAATATGTTTATATTTGCTTTGTGGATTGATACTGATAATGCTATTATCACAATCAAATAAACCGAAGGTCCACATAAAACAAAGAGTATTCCAAACTTGCAACACTTAGTACAAAACCCTCTAACCTAAAAAAAATCATGCTTTCTTATTTAATGTATTAAAGCCATTCTACCAACACAGACTCGTTAAACATCAATTGTGAAAGAAACAACAAGATGAGGCTTGCCTTCAAAGCAAGTTTTGCCACGGGATATTATATCCTCAAAACACTATGTGACATGCTAGTCACTTATCAAATACTGGTTGGATCAATATGCACCAACCTGTAGTCACCATTCCAGTGATAGATCGTATAACTAGCACCGGTTGGTATCAATATTTTATTATTATTTTTTTCAGAGATACCAGCCATACATATCAGTATAGCTCCTAGTACACTGATACCATACCAGTTTGGTAGTTGTGAAAATTGGAGTTGAACCACTATCTATAATCTTGGACTCTATATTACTGAGGATCTATGACTAAACCTCCAACACTCATACTCCAAATGCACAAGATCACTAAACAAGAGATACATAAAGTCATTAACATCTTTAATAAGCTTACTGAGGCCTAATA